ATTAGATCTTCAGTTTTACTGTATAAACAATACAGTGTCACATTAGATCTTCAGTTTTACTGTATAAACAATACAGTGTCAAATTAGATCTTCAGTATTACTGTATAAACATTACAGTGTCACATTAGATCTTCAGTATTACTGTATACACATTACAGTGTCACATTGGATCTTCAGTTTTACTGTATAAACAATACAGTGTCAAATTAGATCTTCAGTATTACTATATAAACATTACAGTGTCACATTAGATTGCCTATAATACTGTTATACACTACAGTGGCACATTAGATTGCCTATAATATAGAGGTTACACAACGAGTGGTTGTTGAATATGGTATTTATTTCACTCGAGTTAGTTAATTTTCGAAAGTTACAAATAACACGAGCTTTAGCGAGTGTCTTTCTGTAACTTTTGAAAATTAACTAACGAGAGTGAAATAAATACCATACTCCACAACCACGAGTCTTGTGATCTGTTTCTACCACAATCTCATGATTAGTCGGAAATAACATATGCACATGTGTTTGTTGACAAGGCTGGTGTAGTGATATAACCCATACGTAAAAAGTCACTCATTAATATTCAAAAATGGCTTTTTTTTTTTACAAATCTAATAATTGTCAAAATAAATGTTTCGGCAACCACTTCATGAAAAAATATAATAGATGAATGACTTTAAATATTGGGAGTAGCAGTATTGCATTAATTTATGTAAATTAACTACAGACTATATGCGCGTAAGCATATCGTACGAGGTCTGCCTCCCGCCAAGTGATGAAGACGAACTTATCGCTGTCAATGTCCAAAAACATAGGCCTACGTTTCTTCGTGTCGGTTCTATGGTTGACGTTTATAGTGACAGTTCAGACATAGTCAGAACGTCCAAATAGCGATAACGGGACGTTAGGAGAACGAAATATTTTCCAACACTGTGACTGTGACAGATCGTGTTTTGGTTTCACGACCTGGACACGCGACAGGGTGACGTTGAAACGATATTGAGCGTCTGTAGCAATTTTGCCTGAAACTAGCGATCAAATCTTTAAGTATCATCTTCTTTTAATATTGCCTTAATAACCCCCTTTTCCGCATAACCCCACAAAGTCACCAACAGTTGTCGAATGTTGACAGCAGACGACGTAAACTAAACAGATTGTGGCAAAAAACGTGAGGAAAAAGTCGTCCCGGTCAAAGTTCATCTTCTTCACCAATCAAAACTTGTGTAGCTCATTTACCACGTGTGGTATATAACTCATATTTATCTAACAGTCTGTGTGTTTACACAGTGTATTGTGGTAGAAACTGTAATACACTACAGTGACACGTTAGATTGCCTATAATACTGTAATACACTACAGCTTCATGTTAGATTGTTTATATAATTATAATACTGTAATACACTACAGTGTCACATTAGATTGTATATAAAACTGTTATACACTACAGTGTCACGTTAGATTGTTTATAATACTGTTATACACTACAGTGTCACGTTAGATTGTATATAACACTGTTATACACTACAGTGTCACGTTAGATTGTATATAACACTGTTATACACTACAGCGTCATGTTAGATTGCCTATAATACTGTAATACATACACTACAGTGAGTGCCAAGTTAAATCCCCTGTATTACTGTACACTCCCATGTGAACCATGGTGGCCTCCTGCATCAGTGATAAAGCACTGATGTTTTCTGCGTTCATAGGTGGCAGATTAGCCGTTAAATTACTACCCAGTGGTAGCGATGCGGTCACCATCTCATATGATCCCGACACAGGAGGGACTAGCTGGTCATGTGACTCGTGAGGCAGAGCATCAGTTTGAGTGATGACAGTCACAATGTTGTCGACAGCAGGCACAATAGTTTCTTGCAGTGTTGTCTCCACAGTCAGATTGTCTAACAGAGGGACTCGCATTTTGTTATTGTGTGATGCCATGTGTTTCTTTAAGTCTCGGTTAAACATAAATCCTTTACCACAGGTCTGGCATTTCTTTGACCGGTCACCGTTGTGATTTCGGATGTGTGAGCGAAGATTGCTCTTGTCTGCAAACGTTTTCTGACATATTTCACATTGATATGGTTTTTCCCCTGTGTGCGTACGCATGTGTCGCTCATGGTCTTGTTTCTCCCCAAACATCTTATTACACACTTCGCACACATGCACCGACCACTTATAGGATGCAACATCCTCCGGTTTCAAGTGGAATGACACAAAATGAGAGTTAAGAGCACCAGACGACTTGCACCCCTGACCACATACGTTACACACATGCGTGGGTTCATTGGAATGTGTATGCTGGTGAGTTATAAGACACGACTGCTGTCGGAATGTTTTACCGCATGTGTGACACATGAACTTCTTGAACTCGCTGTGAAGAGCCATGTGATTTCGAAGCACATCCTGGCTTCGGAAAGCCATCTTGCATACTTTACATTTATGAGGTCGTTCACCCGTGTGAATGTAACGATGCTCCTTCAGTTGCTGCTGGGTACGATATGCCTTGCCACAAACTTCACAAATGAATTCCTTTTTCTGAGTATGAACTAACATGTGAGTATCCAGATTACGTTTCTCTGTACATCCTTTCCCACAGACAGTACAAATAAACGGTTTCACGTCTAGATGATTCTTCGCATGTCTCCGTAAACTCTCTATGGAGTTAAACTGCTTCAGACAAGTCTTACACGTGAACTTTCCGGATGTGTCGTGAAGTTGTCGATGCTTATACAAGGACAGGGACCTCAAAAATATTTTCCCACACAAGTCACAAGCATATGGAGATTTTCCAGAAATGACATGGATTTTTTTATGTTCTTTCAAAAATAGCTGGGACGGAAAATCCAATTGACATATTTTACAATCAAATTTTCGTTTTTTCTTCCCATCTGAATGATTTGAGGTCATGTTGTACGTTCCCTCACTGTCTGGTGCATCTGTGAGCTCAATACTCTGAGTTAGCTCTGTATTCATTACAGAGCTGGCGTCCTTCTCAAGGCTCTCAACATTAGATTTTACTGCATTGTTTGACTCCGGTACAGATTCCACTTTACTGCCTGTATCCGTTTCTGGATTAGCTGTATTAGAAACGTCTCTTGTGTCAGTTTCTTGACCTGAACTTGGGTCCTTTACACGTAATTCCTCGACAGACACTACTTTGCATGTGGCCATCTCCATGAGACTCCCCATCTTCTGTATCTGGCTCTCGTTGTCCTGTTCGTGTCTGGCTTCATGACGCACCAGTGTGTGATAGGACCCAAGTATTCCCCCGCAAAATCTACACTCAAACTTGTCCTTGCCATATTTGCTTAGTCCCTTGTCCCCATGTGAAAATAACTTGTGCATTCTCTTGCCACTGCGCGACTTGAATGACTTTTCACAAATTTCACATTTGTATGGTTTACCGTCGTCCCCCTGGTGCGACGACATGTGGTTTTTGAGATCCTCCTTCTGACTAAATTCGTCTTCACAGATATTGCACTTGTTGACATTCTCATCTGTATGACTCTTCATGTGTCTTTTAAATGACGATCGATTCTTGAAATGCAAAGAACACTGACGGCATTCCAAGTCCAACTTTTTAGATTTTTTGTTGTCATGGGTGACCATGTGCTCCTGGAGACATCTTTGTGTGGTGAACTTCAGACCACATTCTTGACATCCATATTGATCAGGTGCATTCTCCTCTTTTCCGTCGTGATGTGGTTCAGCCAGGTCTGCATTAATACCTTGATGTTCTTGTACCTGGTGATCGACTAGTTTACTCTTCTTTAAAAACACAAATGGGCATCTATTGCAGGGATACTTGAGCACATCAGAACAATGAACAAAAATATGTGAATTCACACCATCAGGTTCTGCAAACTGACCACATACTGGACAGTTTTTGCTGTCCACTGTCCATGAAATTTTCTTTGAGTTAGCTCTGCTTTTCTTTTCCAATCGATGATCTGACAATACATGTTTTACGAAATTGTTCTGATTAGCCAATAAAGTGCCACATGCGGGACACTCCATCTTTGCATGGTCATAGTTCTCAGAATCTCCTCCCTCGGATCGAGAACTGTCAGGATGATCCCTTTTTCTGCCTTGCCTAGCAGTCTGTCTTGTCCGACTCCCAAACTTAGAGTTCCTTGCTCCAGCTAGTCGTCTTGATCTTCTGATATTGTTTGCAACTTCATCCTGAGTGTCAACTTTCTTTGTTCTATCGCTGATTTTTCTCTGTTTTTCCTTTGCTAATGTCCTCCTGCCTTTTTGTAATTTTGGAGATTTCATTTTAGATAAATTCTGACTTTCTAATTTTCTCTTGTCTAGTTTATTGCTGTTCATTGTAGACTTTCCTACTTCATCTGACTCGTCAATGTTTTCATTGCTTTCACCTTCCTCCATTTCTTCAACAGTACAAACATTAGAATTTAAATTAACTATCTCATCACCAGCAATTTCCATCCTGTTGTCAGGAATGCTGACAATTGTAAGTTCTTCATTTGTTTGGTGAACATCAATGTCATTTATAGGTTTGTAATCCTGGTCAATGAGATGCTTCACTAGAGGGCCAGGCAAAGTGTTGTGGCCTTGACCTTCAGCATCAAGGTCAGAGATGTCAAGGTGTTTATTCTCAGTGACATAGGTATCGTGCGATATCTGAATTCCATCTGCCAGTGAGTAGTGTTCTAAAATAATAACAAAAGAATGTCAGGGGTCAATGGAATAATAATCATGCATATCTATGTAAAAGATGTGGATTAATTAGATTGCTTACAAGCGTCAGCTGTGGAAAATTTCCCTTTAGCTCAGCGGTAGAGCATCAGGCTGGAGAGCCAAGGGTCGCGGGTTCGAGCCCCAGCAATGGCACTATCTTTATCACTATTTCTCGTCCTATTACATCTATATAAAACAACTAGGCATCTACCTATATGACAATTGACTTCTCTAAACATCTAAACTTTATATTTTTTATATGGAACAATATTGACAATATGTAATTATCACTGTATTCACTGTGTATAATCAACAGCACAGTTGATCACGAAAGCAACACTTTAAGAAATTGTCAAAATCACCTGCAGAGAAGTTGATGAACTTTGTCAGGATATCGGAGTTCCTATCCAGGAACATGCTACCAAGTGTTGAACCGAATGTGGTGCCTTCTCTACACTTCCTGTCTGCTGTGAGCACCACAAACTCCTTTCCAGTTGCCGTCAACATCTCAGTCTGTAAGTAAAAAAAGATAACTGTCCAACTCTCATTGACTCATGTGGAAAAATTGAGAATAGCGTAACACTTCTCGCTAATTTTGTTATCAGACAACAAGTTAATTTGCACTTTTAATTTTGCAAAGATGTATTCATATAGATAATAAGAGTCTGTTTTGAATATTTTTTAATATAGTACACTATTAGGCCCAAAAAATTTTTTTCTGCTTGAAAAATATTGGGGTTGGTAGGTAGGGAATGGGTTTTTTTTTAATTTTTACTATGCTAATATAGAACAGGAGTTCTCGCTTTAACAGGGTCTATCACTTAATGCAAATAAAAACCTTAGGGTAGGCACAAAAACCTAGGATAAGAAGGGGAACCGTAAAAAAATATCTTTGGTCTTACTACTTGCATACTTTGTTGAAAGCCTGGATATACAGATGTCAATGCCACCCATATTATCTTCTGTTTTGGCATCACACTTTTTGTTTCAGTTTTGGAAAAATTGAACAGCATTACTTCAGAAAATTGTCATGCTCTGTGGTTAAGCTATGAAGTGAAAATTAAGTCAACCCTACCAATAATGTCATCAGTTTAAGAGCAGACTGTAAATATAGTACATACATTGATGGTACACTGCACTTATATATATAATTACCAAACTTGTCCATATGTCGGTACCAATACTGTGATCTGGTACAACTGTGGGCTGTAGATCGCCTTGTGCATTCATACTGCAAACATCCATACCACTGTTGTCTCCGTACCAATACTTCAGTTGTAAAAGTGTTCTACAAATTAAGTTAAAGAATTAATAGCATGCACGACAAGAGGCTTGGAACAGACACTGGGTCTTAAATGGGCAAAATTGGCAAAACTTTTAAATATTAACTTATTATGAATAAAATATATTGGACAAAAAAAATACTTGTGTTTCCCCTCTCATCCTCAGAAAAAAATAAGGTAGGTACATTTCTATTTTGGAAATAAAATATTTTTACTATGCTTATATAAGTCCAGAGTTCTGACTTGAACAGTGCATGTCACTTAATGCCAATACAAACTTTAGGGTAGGCACACAAATCTAGGGTAGGTAGGGTTAGCGGAAACACAAGATTTATTATTTAATATGGCCTTATTTAAAGTGTTATCACTTTTTAACGAGAGCACTGCATAGCAGAGCATTACATGCCTGCAAAACATAGTGTATTGTGCATGGTGAAAGAGAAATATTGAAATGTCAAAAGAAAAAAAAAATCTTACTAGTGTATTACTTCAGAAAGTTTTAGTATTTCTTGTGTGTCTTGGGGAAAGATTATACTTCACTGGGCACGGGTGGATGAGCCTTTCAGCGTTTGACACCCCACCCCTGCTTACATGTACAATGCTATTTTTGAATTCTGTTATTTCAAATGTATCTGCTGTACATACGACGAACCTGCTCATAGTATAGATTGGTAGTACACAAGACAATATTTCAAACATTACAGCAGTCTTCTGTATATCTGAAAATTGTTTTAGATGTGGCCGTCTCCTTAACTTGGTGTGTGAGTTTATGAGTAATTAGATAGAAACCAATGTTCGTTACATATCTCATAAAATTAAGGTTCAACAAGCTAGCCTACTAAATGATGCTGTAGTCACCCTAAATGTTATTCCCCATGATAAGTCCTATTCAAAGACCTCAATTAAAAAATTGAAACTTACATATGTACACTTGTAATTTGAATATATTAAAATTGTACATTGGCTATTAGAATTGTACATAAGCAGGTTAACATAGTCGTTAATAAGTCATTAAGGCTGACGTCTTCATAAAAATAGTTAATCAGACTTATTATAATTAACATGTCAGTGATTAATATAAGTTGAAATAACATGTTTCATATTTGTTGTAAAATAAATAAAGTTTAAAAGTTAAAAACATGTCAATCTCTTTAACGACCCAACTGAGTGCTAAGAAATGACATATAATTCAAAGTTTATTTATATACAATTTGTACGTCATGCAGAGCTTAATTTCTCTTCTACTATATCTACTATATACTAGCTGTTGAGAGGAATTCCGACCTCAAATCAAGATAGATATTGCTATGCGAAAGCACTAAAATCATGATTAAATCCCCTGGTAACATCTTTTAGCAGATTATAAATTAAAATAAGAAAACAAACACTATATACTCTTGATCAATAAATTAACTTTCGATGATGTGCCATTTGATAGCATTCCATGATGTTATAAACATTGAAACACTGTTTATAACATGTCTAGCTATTTGATAACATTAAATATTAAGAAAGGACACTTTATTTGAAGTTTATTTAGTTTTTATGATCATAGGTATATGGCTTCACACATATATACCAGAAAAATATGTTACTGGGACATTTTACTATGATTTTTGTACATTTCCTTAATTGTTTGTCTTCATGGCGCTATCGCGTGGTCAAGTTCTCGGTACAGGCATTATCTAGTCAGAAACCGAGCATAGGTCCGGTATTTATAGAGTTCAGGGTGTTAGATATATGCGAAGTTGGTATTGGGGTTCACATTTTTTGTGAATTAATTTCATTTTTTATTTATTCTCGGAAAATAGAGATAGGGTTGTATAGTTTCGTTTTATTTGTTTTGTAGTTTTTGTATTGGCAGACATATATAATTGATAAATACATGTGAAATTTAATGCAGGTCCAGCATTGCCCCTAAGACCATCCTGCAATGGGCTGTATTAGTTCTCCCACCCTTATTATTGCCAGACGGCAATAGGACACAGGTTTCAGGGGGGGTTTGGTTTAAGATGGAGAAGGATATTTTTGAATAACAGATAGCGAGTTCTGTTAGCGAATGTTTGTGGCGACACATCTTTGTCAATTGTGCCTTTATACATCTGTATTTCGTATGCATCATGTATATTTCTGCAATATTAAATGCTGACTGCTCGCAGTGCCTAAGGCTAGATGGCAAATGGATATTTATAGTCTATGTAGTATTTTTACACGAGTGAAGAGAAGACTGACATATGTTTATAAGTCTGGTGTGCTATTTTTAAGACATCAACATTAATGCCTTATTTGTATCTGTATGTTACTGGAAGACCTCAAGTTTGAGTATAAATTCCAGGGTTGGAGGAGTGCGCTTTTAGTTTATATTGTTTCAGTTTGTAGTGCTGTCTTGAAGCTTCTAAGTTTTTTAAGTCTTGAAGCTTTTAAGTTTTTGCAATTTATTTTATTATTGATTACATAGCTAATCTACACATTCAATCTATTTAAATTACATATATATATTCCGACTTTTAATAAGGTCTTTAAATATGACTAACGGTTACCAGGGTTGAAATTTAGGGTGACTATAACATCTTTTAGGGGGCTTGTTGAACTTTAACACTAGAGTTGTCTCCCTTCTAACGCGATATCATAGATCAGTTTCATATTTACAACGAATGCATGTTTGTGTTACTCGTAAGCTGATTAATACTTTCATGTAAAAGTCATGAACCTTTTACCGTAAGGGATTCTTTGTTATGGTGCGAATCATGATCATGAGGTAAAATGGCAGTGGGAAGTGTTTGGTTGAGCACCTTCCTGATAGTTTATCATACGTGTCATTATAATCTCATTTTGTGTGACACTGACAGTCTGAACGATCTTGGTGACAAGTTTTCGACCTGTTTCATATCAAATATTGTGACAAACAGACATCTTTTGTGTCGTTGCCTTCTTTAAGCGGTATGTTCTATGACATTACCAATAACAACGACAGCTACCGTAAAACTATCACGCGGAAGAAAAGGGTGTATAACAAGTTCGATAATTTGTCACGCATACAATTAATCTAGGCGTCAATATGTCCCTTTTCGTTACATTTGTCATTAAATTGGGTGGTAATAACTAACATATGTATATGATCTACGGTTACACATCGATTACAAAACACGAACACATACAAACCTGACAGAATACCTCAATACATTTTAGTTCAAGTGTTGGCGGATTTTTCGGCGAACCAACATGGCGGCGGTGAAATGTGAAGGGTGCGTTCGTATATATATATATAGCGAGGTTTACGTCAGAGGTTACCCGGCGTGATATAATCTGTGATTCGCGATAAGATTGTTTTGGTTTTTCTCGCGGCATTCGACACATGTACAGACTGAATGCTTTGCTATTTGTTCACAAATATGTTTCTACAAAATCCAACTTGGTTTTAGACAAGAAACTAACCTAATTGTTTCTCTCAAAATGTTTTTTTAGTTAACGACCTACAGGGAAACTGTTTTTTAAACATTTCTTTTTACACTTTCCATTCTAAAGCTTACCCGCTTAAGTCCGTGGTAAGGTTAATGCAATTAATGTATACTGACCAACTTCAAGGTGCAGTGATATGAAATCTAAAGTTTGGGAGACTAGAGCAAGTTCGACTCGTTTTTATTAAATAGCTCTACTTGGGATCATTGTTACATTCACGTGAAATTTCATTACTTTGTGGAATAGTGCTAACAAACTTTAAGTCTCAAAATTGAAGATGGCCACTAAAAATTCGACTGCCGTCACTAGTTATATAAATTTAGGGATATAGGATACTTTTTATGTACTAGCGCATTGCTTGGCAATGTACCGGCCTCACTTTTGGCTTGAATGTTGAACGTTCGCCCAGGTGTGAAAGGCAAAGATGCCTTCCTTAACATTCAGCATTGAGGGTAAGGGCAACAACTTGTTCACCCGTTGTCAGTATAATATGACCGGGCGGAATGCTGTGCGTGGTATAAGAATGGCATTATAAAGTCAGCATCAGATCCGCGCTATTAGAAGGAGGCACATGCATCAATATACCCTGCCTCCAGCACACATAAACACATGTACGTATGCACAACACACTTGGAGGCACGTCCTTAAATGACCTTAGCTTTGAATAGGACGTTAATAGGTATGTCAACACACTGTCAAGTACCCATAGTGAGATGTCCGTCGTCAAAGATATTTTAGAAAGAGAGAGCAAGGTTTTGATAAAAGGTTCAAAGAAAATAGGATGAAGGCAAACCCTGACAGGTTTCACGCAATTGCAATTGGAAAAAAGGCCAATAAAGAACATACTATTTTAAATATTGGCAATATTGTAATTGATTGTGAGGAGGCCGTAAAACTTTTGGGAGTTACAATAGATTCTTAATTTTGATACATGTTAAAAACATATGCTTAAAAGCATCTAGGAAGATAAATGTACTTCGGTACCTCGGGAGGTATCTTAACTGAGAGGGGCACAGGGCCATTTATTACGCCTTTATCCTGTCAAATTTAAATTTCTGTCCTTTGGTATGGCATTTTTGCTCAAAATCAAACTCCTAGAAGCTTGAAAAAAAATCCGTTTAGAGCGTTAAAATGTGTTTATCAAAAGTTCAGCTCAAGTTACGAGACATTTCTTGAAAAGGAAGTTTTTCTACCCTTCATATCAAAAGGCTTACACTTGTAGCCATAGAAATTGTTTTTTACAAGATTTTCTCCATGAGAAACCCTCATCTTACTCTTTAAGTTACACATTGACTTGTTGATGTCCCCAGAACAAGGACTGTTAAATATGAATATGGGGCAAACAGTTTTAGCGTTTTAGCTGCTAGTAGTACAAAAGTACCGCTTTTGGCACAGGGTCATTGAGTGCAGTCTCCTATATAATCCTTACCACCTCCCTGGCACCCCCTTAGTCATAATAAAACAAATTGCCACTGGCTATGTGATGATGATAATAGAAGCTCTATCGGTACATCTGTTACCATTCCAGTATGATGTGAGTTTTTTTTAAATCTATAAAAGAGGTAGCTGTCGGACAAAGCATTCTAAGTAGTAGCAGCAGTAGTACAAAAGTACCGCTTTTGGCACAGGGTCATTGAGTGCAGTCTCCTATATAATTCATACCACCTCCCTG